CTCTCCCTTCCGTGAGCAGGTAGTCAGGTCCGCTGAGGCAACAACTACACCATTTTCGCGGCGCGAAAACGCGTGAGGAGAGCCACGATGCCGTCGTTCTTATCATTGACCCAACCTACAATCATTGGCACCGCCCACCATTCATTTCTAATGGTTACCTGATGGTGCGGTTGTTTCGCTGCTGCTTCTCTCCACGTCGAGTGGTGAGAGTGAGGTGATAAGGGAAAACAGCTGATATCAACAAGTGAGAACTCGTGCGACCGCGCACGCTGTCTTTTTGTCCTTGACGCGACGTCACAAGCTTCGAGTTAATGCAAGGGGTTCTATATAGAGTCAGTTCTATGATTGTTCTTTCCAGGATTTTTCTTTATGAGGGGTTGACTGGCCAACTCTTGTTATAGTGTGAGTATTTGGAGCAGCATAAACTCATTCAAATTTCGAATGCGGGCTCAGCCCTTTAAATGCGTTGGTTCGATCAAGGCACTGAATTCAGAACACCTTTGACTAAAGTACTTTTTTATGGCTCTTTACTCGTGTTTTTTGTTATTGCGGTCCTGTCGCTGTCGTGATTCCCTTCCGCCGGCGTAATGCAAAACGTGGGTGTGTCAAGTATTTTTCCTTTCAATATCGATATTGACTTCCAAAGCGCAGAAAGAAATGATTTTTTTGGGTAAGATGCTGAACTTAGTTTTGCGTTGTTGTCATCAAAAGTCTGAGTCCACTTAAACGGAAGAATATCGAGTCATTCTGAGGGACTTACCCCGAAGTAGAAAATGTTCATGAGATAGGAATCGAGCTAAAATTTTGGGGACACGTCACTGCAGAGCTCAGTAACCCGACGGCTCAAGATGACAGGAAATTTGTCCAATTCTTTGCCATTTTGGTTCATGGCAAATTTTCCCAGAGAAAACAACAAGGTGGTCCCCTGAAACGTATACAGAGTCAGATCCGCGAGCAAACAACTATCTTCAGGAGTCCAGACTGAGTGACTGGAGTGTTGAAACCTCTCTTCGCCGTGGCGGCCCAGCCCACAAGTATAGATCACACCCAGAGATGAGCAGCACTGGTGAGTGCGATGAAGTTGCAGTCGCCTTTCTCTTCATCCTCATCCTTTGCTGCTCGCTCTCTAGCTTACGCTAACAACACATCTTCTATTGATTCAGCGCATGCTCGTCCCATGCCCCTCCTTGAACGTAATGAGAGAGATCTTACTAGGGCCAGTTTCAACTTCTCTTACTAGGGCTGCTTTCGACAGTTTCAACTTCTGTTTGATCCACTGGAAAGTTAGCTGCCACTTAAGGGCACATCTTTGCGTTAAGGAAGATTTTTGCCAAGTACTACTCCCGAAATTCATCCTCCGGTGCGACCACCCTCCACGGCCGACCAACCATGCTACCATGTTTCCTAAAAATCTGCTGTCGTGGAGGAGAACTGAAAAAGAGCACCGATCAGCTACCAGGGAATGCACACAAGCACTAGGGAAAGATGTAGCGCCGCGGGAAAAGTCAGGAGTCAAAAGCTCTATCCTGAGTTCTAGGACGAGTCCTCTCCCCTCCGGCTAGCAAATGCAACCCCCGCTGAGGATCCGCAACTTACGACGTGCCCTCTGCCAACTAAGGCACACAGGGGAGAGTCGTTCAGGGCGTGCTGAGCTTTCAAAATGGTCTTGTGCATACATGCTAGCGGCACATACGAGACAGAAAACTGACTGCTATCGTTTTCGCTGCGAAGCCTTCTAGAATAAAAAAAACGTAAAAAATAGGTCGATTGCCGTTCGGCATCCCACCGCAGGACCAAAAATTTTCTTTCTAACAATTTTCATCTTTTGGAAAAAAAAATCTCAGATGTTTGTCTAAATAAGCTCGTCCTAATAAAACATTCACGCCATGAACACAACAATCCTACTTTCATAAAACTGCTTTTTCGTTCGAATTTGTTAGTATGCACAGACTCAGCTCTTCGGCACTATATCGGTGCCAGATGGCACTGGAACCGAAAATAAAGTCTAAAATCGTGATCAGGACTGTCGATACCCCTATAGAGCAAGTTTTGAGCGAAAAATTTTTTTGACTTTTTCGGGTTGTAGGTGGCCGACCATTTGGTCGGCAGTGTGAGCGGAGTTTCACATCTTCGTAACAGCGATGAAGTATCGTTGACGCTACGGACACCGGACAACCCAATAAGCAAACCCAGGAAGGTCAAAACAATTGTTTTGACTGAAAATTTGTTTTTAGTGGTAATCAGTGGCCCTGGTCACAAATATAACACCTATTCTTGGCGTCCACGCAATTTGGCGACAGAATAGCGCTGAACGTTCCCTACATGGGTGTACATAACGAATTCACTGGAAAGAAAGATGTGGCCCAAAATTGCTCTAATATATCGACACCACACCAGAAGTTACTAAATTCGCTATCAGATCCACTGGTATAGCCTATGAAGATCAACGCCCAGCAACAATCTTGCTCAATGGTGCGTGAAATCGAAAATCGACAGTTTGAATAGCAGTTGACTCATGACCCGTATCAGCCTACCGCAGAATTGCCCCATTAAATGGCAAAATTCGAGTTATATATCATGCCGCAGACACGAAAGAAGCCTAGAACAGCGAATCTAATAAAATGCAAAAAGCGCGCGACACAAAGCCGGAAGCCAACCATCAACCCTGCCCTCACTGCTCCGATTATGCGAAACCTTCCACCCTATCGTTAGCCATCCGATGCCTCGAACTGCTTCTGCGCTCTTATCGTGATGAACCATTGCCAAAAGAAGCCGTTCACCCTTGAGCACATGACCCAAGTTGGAAGCTCACTTACGGCGATTTTTCGCTTCGATTCAAACGGCCCCTTTATAAGGACCCCCCACTCAGCAACTGGTCAAAGTTGCAAGTGACCTACGCCGCATAGAGGCCCAGAACGAAGCAGATTCCACAGATTTCTTTTCACTCGTTTTTACCTTTCCTGGAAGCGCGCAGCGAAAATGAAGCACACTTTTCAGGTCCTTGCATGAGCCCCACAATATGCAAAAAACCGTTTTCGAAAAGCGCACCACGCCCTGAACGACCTCCCTTGTAAGGCACACAGGCGGGTGGTGCGAAGAAATACACTTTGGCCACGTCACATATCAGTGAAATTCACGCAGCCCAGACAGAAGACGTGGATACGAGTACCAGGGCGGAAGATACCCAAGATGTTCCTCGATAAGCAGTAGCAGGCTCTCGTCCGTCACTTTCATGATGAAGCCATTTGTAAGCGAAAATCGAGCAGAACTGGAGAAGGCCTTTGGAATGCAAGTCACCTCCAAACAGCTGCGGAACTTCTTGTAGTCGTTCATGGACAGCTATCGGAGGGCCAGCACTCTTGATCTGGAAGACCTCCAACATCGAGCAGCTCCGACAACGTCGCTACGGTCCAGGATATCATCTTCACCGCAGTCGCCAAGGCGCGGGTTGATGGTATGGACCGGAATGGGAAGACCAATATTTTCTTCGTGGACCCCGGACTGAAAGTGAACGCTGACGGTTACATCAACCAACAGAGGAGAATATCCTGCCTTTATGTCGTCGGGTGTACCATCGTGGAAACCTCATACTGCTACAGGATTGTGCCAGCACATGGAACCGAAAGGAGGCAAAAAACTCTCGCCTACTTGCAAGCGAACAGCGTTGATTACCTGAAGAGGACGGAATATCCAAGTGTGCCACCTGCGCTGAACCCCCCCCCCAGATTATTGAGCTTGGAAGGAGCTCAAAAGAGTGGTCTGCAGTGGCGAGAAATCAACAACCTCGCTGTTGAATATGATGGTAAATGTCCAATCAGGATTTGATAAAGTGTAACTTCTATTGCCTCCAAAGTCGAGGAAGAAAAGTGTCTCTTTTTGCTTCCCCTCCCTTATGTTCAAGCCCCGTTACCCATATGTTGCCATCGCGGAGTGTGTCGTTAGTTTACCTTGAGTGGCTTTCTCATATTTCCCATTGTGCCAAGGCTTTAAGATGGAACTATGCATTGATGGCTCCTCTGAGGCCCAGTCTACCAGCGCATTAGTGAAACGGCGCCATTCTGTGTCAGATGTGATTAATAAGTCGATTCAACAATGTGAGAATTGGATACTGTAAAATTTCACTAAGCCGAGATCGAGCCACTGCCGCTTAGTTGAATGTACGTGCAGCGTTGGAGGTGACTAGCTAGTGCTAGAATAACGGTTCTAATCAAAAGTGTCATAGGGTGTTTTTGCCGCTTCGTTGTTTGCTCTTGACCACAGCACAAAAGGAGAGCGCTATTTACACGCACCGTTTTCTTGTACTGCCACTCAAAAGGAAAGTCCGCTGTCAGCGATGAAGATAAGACAGGGCAGGAGATATATTTTCCTTTTACGCCCACTCTGGCTATTTTCCCTTATAAACACAATCGTGCTTAAGAGAAGTCAGCCTTCTTTGTCGCACCTGTACAGAAATTTCGTTCTCGTCTCACTTCCGTGATTATTTAATAACATTTAATAACACGACATTTGAGATGAAACACCTAGTACTAATTGCGCTCTTCGGCTGTTGCCTAGCCATGCGACAACAATCTGTGGCCATCAAAGGAAAATTGGTGTGTGGACCTAGGCCGGCATCTGGAGTTTCGGTAAAGCTTTGGGAAGAAGATGACGGTGAGACGAAGCACATCTTCTACTTTAGACCTCTTGAAATGATTAGTTACTGCAGTGATCCTCGAGGAAGGATCCTTGGCAATTTTCAAGACGGTTGCCACTTCGTCATGTTCACGTTCCCACATTAGGGCCAAGAGAAGAACTTTTCATATTACAGGTCCTGATCCCGACGACCTCCTCGACCAAGGCTATACTGCCCCTGATGGCACTTTTATACTAAAGGTACGCTAAGTTTTGTACCGAACAAAATAGAACAGATCACGGTTTTCACGTCGGAACCTCCACTTTCCTGCCTTAAATTGCAACCACGACATCTGAATGTTGATCCAGCGAGAGAGGTGGAGGGGGGGGGATGGGAGTTAGCGGCCGAGAGAGATTTTACAGGAAGTGTCTGCAACTATCCTACCCGCTTGCTGCCAAGAGGGTGGGGGATACAGCACGACTGGAAAGAAATTACGCCTGGGATAAATGCGGACTTCGCGCCGCTGAGCAGATGCTGGGTGGCCTCTTTCCCAATTAAGGTACCTTTAAAGCGCGCTATCAAGCTGCAACATACCGACCCGGACGCCCACCGCGCCCGCCCGCCCACAAATGGACGACCGTACCTGATGCTCGTATGCTTCATTTGCGAAGTAAATATGAAGCGAAGGATTGATATGAAGCGGCTGCAGTGCTGCATGGAGATATAAGCACATACACAAGTAAATATACACAGTGGTATCTACCATAGCGGTAATTGGTACGATGCCGACGGAAAAACTCGTCCAAAATTGCTTTCTCAATCATGTAGAACGAAGGCTTTTTTTGCAAGTTTTCTTACCGTCCCACTTAGTTTTTTCTCCGGTTTTCCCACTATATAGCATCTTGCTAGCATTTTAGACCAAGTAGCAATTATCGTGCCAAGTCTTCAAAGAAGCCGCGGCGAAAACAGCAAAAGAGCGCATGAACGTTCCTCTAGGACCCAACACTCTCAACATGGCAATGCTGCAGCTTGTAATGTCGTCTCTGCAGGTCTGCATACAATCCCACCCCAGATATGAACTGCATTCGCTCCCTCTTCTTTATGTGCTCTTGAAACTGGTACTAACAACAATCAGCCCCATCAAGTGTTTTGTTGCAGGGATCGGAACGTGAGCTTACCACGATTGACCCAGTTTTCAAGGTGTACCACGATTGTGATGACGGGATCAAGGTAGGAATATTCACTTTTTTTCGAAAAGTGTAGCTTCTCATGTGTTTCATGTATTCCAGCCCGGCAAGCGAAAGGTGAAGTTCCGCATCCCTCAATCCTACATCACTAATGGACCGGTTGCCAAACGCATATTCGACATAGGAGTGCTGAACCTAGAGACGATCTTTGCTAAGGAAGAACGTGAACTAATCTAAGCTTCCAACTGCATTGTTTGAATATAACTGCTTGTAGATCTGATTTCCTCAAGTTTCCAAGCCAGTAAAGGTTTCTTTTTGGAAATGTGTTCTGTTTAGTGATCCTGACGATAGCAGTTTGATACCTCAAGAATGAGTTATGTTTGGAGTACCAAACCCCACACCGAACTTGTGTGTCCAATGGAAATGTTCTAGATATCTTCTGCTAGGCAGATCAGGCTTCTCCTGTTTATCTAGCAACCACTGGACTAGGCGCTATGGCATCGTCTTTGGTAAAACTTTCTCGGAAGTACAGTCCACGTTGCTTGTATGGGAGGAGCGAGATCTTCCGTTGCGCCTTTTTTGATCCAAAGTAGTACCTTCGCGTGGGACCATTTAGAAACCAAAGGAAACGCAAGACGTCGCCCACCCCAGAGCCTCTTGATCTGTACAAGGTGATCTATGCTCTAGCGCCAAGAGAACTCCCTTCTCTTGTTTCTGGTTTTTCATACTCGGGTGCGAGTCAAGATTCTAGTCTCCAGGGGATCGCTTGTGTAGCGCTTTCTATAGAATCGACAAGAAGTACTGCCAACATTGCAGTACTAGTGAACGGAGTTGAGCAATGCGAGAAACCAGTGTTATCTGTGATATTACAAACAGTTTTTTGTAAGTAAGTCTAAGTAAGTAGTAAGTAAGTTATGTAAGTAAGTCTTTTGTAAGTCCTGCAATACAAGGGGCAACACATTTGATATACTACTCCGCCTGGTGGTATCCGTTCAAGTGGATTCATGTTTGAAATCAGTCGATTCAGATGGCGCTAGACGACAAGACTGAGGCCGCGTTCATAATACTTTGCGACAGCCTCTTCCAGTATACGACAGCCTTTCGAGCGAACGCCAGCGCCAGCGGCAAGAAACTTGTAGCTGTCGATGTAACGAAGCATCCACCAGCGTTTGCCAGCGTCCAGCAGCAAATGGAGAGTATGGTGAAGTAGGAGGGTAGCAGACAGCTGGATTAGGCGTCGTGAAATTGCGGCGGGTGCATCCGCACAGTATTAAGGCACAGAATAATGCAATCTTGATGTACAGTTAGAACACTTGCACGGTTGCACCCGGCGCAATTTCACGACGTCTATTCCAGCTGCCTGCTACCCTCTTACTTCCTAGCTCTCCACTCCTGTGCGCTGGTAAACGCTGGTGGACGCTGGCGTTCGCTAGATCGATACTTGTACTTCCTCTAGTCCCTCTAGACGCTGGTGGACGCTAGACCGATATCTATACTGCCCAGTCGCTGGTGTTGGCTTCGCTCGAAACGCTGCCGTACGGTAGTGGACGCTGTTGCAGAGTGTGAAGAGAGGGGCACCGTAGAGTGGCATCGCGCGTAAATTGGGAGAGAATTTTTCAGGGTGTCGATTTAGCACTCTGAGGCAATGCCATTTTGAGTGAACAGGGTTGTAGTGCGATTCCACACATACACGTCCAGCTAGATCGGTTTCTTCAGTCACCCTTTCCACGGCTGTGATGCGCTGAGCTGACCTGAAGTCTTCTCCTCGCTATTTTGATGGCCTCGCTGCATCCGCGTTCCCTAACATAATTCTTAGAAGGCCCACTTCTCAGAGAAAAAACTCAAATCACCAAGGAAATCTTAAACAATGATGACATTTCGAGTCTTCTCATTCAAAAATGAACAAGAAATCGTTCCGTTCACATTCAGAGAGAATCTAGAGCGAGATAACAATG